TCAGTGACATATAAAGTTTGGACGGTTGCAACAGTCCTGAGTAAGCACAGGGACCATATGAAAACTGCAGTTTTGCAAACCATGCAGGAGTAAAATGTGCCCAGCTCCTCAACTACCTTTCCAACTGTTCTGGAAGCCATGGGTTCTCCTGCTCCATCAAGTGTTGAAAATACCTTGGAATCTGAGATAGACATGATGGATGTCATCGCCTTGATGCCTTTGCTGCCTGAAGAGGAGAATGTATTTCTTCTGAGACACTCTGGGCGCAAGAGGCGAGATACTGTGCGTCATATGCTGCCCATATCAAAGGCAGAGTTGGAGAAGCGTGACCCGGTACTAAAACGCCCAAGGAGGAGTTACAAAAAAAGAACTGGCCAATGTTCCGGACTCAGTGGGGGAGGGAATGTAGTGATTGTAACAAGGTCACCCAGATAGACCTCATAGAATATGAGTTCCTTGATTGGGCCAGATTAACAGCCCCAGTCAGGCAGCCCCAGCTGACAGATATAACCAGGAGTGTCAGAAGTTCTATTCACTCAGAGCTGCCCCTGAGGGAGCTGAATCAGTATCCAGCACACTCCACATGTAAATAAAATGTGGCTTAGTGACAGGATGCCGGGCCTCTTTGGAGTTATTTCAGAAAGTGCTGGAGAAACTCAGCAGGATTGATGGCATCTGTGAAGAGGAAAACTGAATTAATGTTTCAAGTCCAATGATTCTTCTTTGGAACCAAAGGAAAGAACATTTTGTGGTCCTCTTTCTCTCTCGTTGTACACTCGTTCAGTGTTCTTCTGGCTCACAATCTCTTTAACTTGTTCTTGCACCTGTTGCAGCCACAATGTACTACCTCCTCGCTAAAAGGTGCAGTTGTCTGATATGTTGCTGGCCTCTCATGATTTTGCATCCTCTGCTCCAGTGTGCAGCCACTCAGCAGTTTGCCTCATGGTGGTTGCCCGCGGAAGTAGTTTAAATGAGCACCCAGCCCAAAACTCATGCACTTATCACTTTGCAAATTGTCTGTTAAGCAGCCTGTGGAATGGAGAAGGAGGTCAGGAAGGAAGAATCTATTAAATAATTAGGGATATACAGGAAAAAAAACATATCATTGGAAAACCGATGGAATAAACATCTCAAGAAAGGAAGTGAAGTCAAATGGGGTAGGGAAAGAAATCAATTAAATTGATTGAAACAAAGTGAAATCTGTTCCGGATGTTAAGCACAGAACAGATTAAAACTAACAAATATAACTTTAGTAAATAAGGATTGTTGAGCAGCAGTCACGTACTGATCAAGCAAAGAGACTAAGGTAATTAATGTGATATCTATCACATTGCAGTACACAATGCAACTTGCTTCACCTCCTAACTTCTGAAGTTTTCTGACAATAACAAACAGCACCATTGTCCAAGTCAACTTCCAATTTCCAAGTCTTAACAGAGAACATGCTTTCTCTCAACAGTTGCTAAGTGTCTCCAGAATTTCTGTTCTTGTTTTAGGTTTCCAGCATCTGCAGTTCTTTGTTTTATCGATATGATTTTTAGTACTGGAATTGCTATTTTAAATTAAAGGCTACCTTGAGTAAGGTGTTTAGCTGATCTAATAGATAGATGGAAATATTTAATTAGTCTATTTTGCTCATTTGGCACAGTCTTCAAAGCTAAGCTAACCAACATATCCAGCAGAAAACCGACACAAGCATGCAATTACCAAAGTTAATCTTCAACAGCAAGCCAGAAGTTTGCCTTCAGTAGTACGGTCAGCAGTGTGTACTGCAGAGAGAGCCATGAGAATGACCGTTGAAAAGAAAATATTGTCATCAACTGCTTACAGTTCATTCCGAACTAGCAGTACAAAACAGTTACTATACTATTCAAATAATTTACTATTAGGAACCTGGTATACCATTCAACAAGTTTCTACCTCCTAACCCACTGAATGCCATGACCAACATGTTAAGTGTATTAACATTAATCCACTTCTCATAGTTCAGGGATAACTATTGGCTGCCATTAGTCTGCCTTCCTCCCTTGAAAGTTATGTGACCCGGTTAAGAGTTATATTTTTAAACTTACTCTGCTGAGGTATGTAAGATGTAACAAACAGAGTTGTAAGTTTGAATGAGTTAGTAGGTGCTAAACATGGAACTGTTTATTCTCTGGCTGAGTTACATACTTGATAACAACATACTGGCTAAATTCCTTCATCCGTGCTGCTACATCCCTTATCTGTTTCCAGGTACTATCCATGTCCAATATGGCTGGTATTTCCTACCAGGTATTTTGTACTGCCACTTTTGAAATGTCCCCTGGAATGCCAACCAGGTCAAATGTCACAATGACTGAACCAGTGGGTAGACAGGGAATATGATTCCCCATTAAAACCATTTTAAAGTTAGATAACATTGTTTTGAAAGAACTCTTATTTTGCTCCCAGGAATACCTATCACCCCTTCAAGTCTATGCACTTTGCAAGCCTCTGGACTAGATATGTCAAAATTCCACAGTTTACAGCTTCAGTTACTTCTAACAAAATCTACCAAATTTCAAATTAACCTCTTTCAGCAACCCAGTCCTAGTTCCATCACTAAATTTCTCTTGCAACCTTGATAATAGAATATGAAATTCATGATACATCAATTAAAACACAAGAGTGCACAACATTACCAATTTGTCCCACCCAATTCACTCTTGGCAACGGCTAAGCACTGCAATTCATTTCTTGAAAAAGGTTCTACTACTTCGTGTGCTATATATTTAAATTAATGTTAGGATAAACGTGAAAATAAAATGACTTTTTGCCGTTGAACTGTTAGGAATTATACCTCTCAATCTTCACACGGTCTTCACACTCATCCCCACAGTAAATATTATAGGCCATTTCTCAACTGTTCTGTTTATAGTTCATTTTATTATTAACATTTTTCATCTTAGTACAGAGTTATATTTCCAAGGTTCTGATATTTTAGATTGTTGCTACAATATGAAACAAGGACAACGAGTATACCCTCAGCTCCATTTAAGACAAAAATCATCATATTTGACCAAGCAATGATAATCTGAAATTACTTCAAATACTACCACTAGTACTCTTAACTAAACTTTGCCAGTAATCAGAGAGCAATAGGGTTAGTTCTGCACCTTCAAGTAGCTTCCACTGGTTATGGTTAGTAAGAGCTGTTAATAAATGTATGGTGAGTAACACACATTGCATAACTTTTCAATGTACATTTAACTTTGCTCAGTACCAATTTTCATGTAATGAAATTTGTCAAAGTTTATTGAAGAAAGTGTGATGTGCAATGAACAATAAGTTGGGGATTTGAATAAAACGGGCAAATTCAAAGCAATTTTGGAGGCAACTGAATAAAGGGCTTTGAAACTATGAAAGGGCTTGATAGGATCAATGTGGAGAAACTGTTTCCACTCATGCATGACTCCAGAATATGCAGACAGCCACTGATAAATCAAATAAAGCATTTTTATTTGAAGGTTCTTTATACAGAGACTAGTGGGAATGAGAATCTTACTGGTATGTGGAGTGTTAGAAGCAAGTTGCATGGTGCTTTAGTTTGATGCCTAAAGGGATACAGGAACACGAAGCAGCATGCAATTAATGGGAGGACGCATATGTGGAGGATAAACACAGGCCAATTGGGCTGTTTGTTCCCATGTTGTACATCATCCGGTTCATTGCAGTGATTACACTGAAAACATGTTCCTCCAAAAGTTCAATGACTCTCCAAGTTAATCTATTATCTGAAATATTTATTCTCCTCCGTGAATATCACCAACAGAAATGAGGATCTGTTTCGTTAGCCAAGAGATTACTACCTACTTTTCATACCTCAAACTCTTATGATGTTGAACACATAATTAACCATAACTGTTGCATAAATATATAAACAACTACTAAAGATATTCTAGTGATCAATAATTCAATTGCCAAACAATAAACCTAAAAGTTAATGCTTGTAATCATAATGATTTGTCATTAGTTGAGAGCCAGAACCGAATGACCATAATCGTAAACATTGCTAACCTCAGTTTCTGCAGATATGTTTTTTACTAATGAGTACATTTCTAGGTATGGTTACACAGTGGTTATGTTGCTGGACCAATCATCCAGAGGTCTGGACAAATGATCAAACACAAGTTCTATCAAGCTGCTGAGGTATTTAAAATCTATTTGTTACATTATGATTTAAAAACCAGTATCAGTAACGGTGATCATGAAAGTATTGGATTAGCCTAAAAATCCATCCAGTTCACTAATGTGTTCCAGGGAAGTAAATCGATGTCCTTATCCAGTCTGACCAACATGCGAATTCCACAATGTAGCTGCTTTTTAAATTTCCCTCTGAAAGGCCTATCTAGCGTACAATTGTAATGAAAACGGACATTCACCACCACCTTCTCAAGAACAATCAGGGACTGAAAATAAATGCTGGTCTTAGCAACATGCCACCTCCTATTAATGAATACTAAGACTTTACATCATTTTCATTGAAAATGACAATTGGTATTTCTATATCTGAAGAACAAGCCGTAAGAAACTGTAGAAAGACGACACCTGGCAGCCCCAAGTAAGACAAGAGACAAACTATTACATTGGCCAATGTCTTAAGCAGCATATACTCAGCAAATACAATATTTAGCTACATCGTTCATTAAAGGTTTTTAACCAATCAAAAAATTCTCCAAACTGTTTCTTGAAATTACTGTATTGGCTCAATCCAATTTTATGAGATCTTGATCATAGTGAATTACACATTTGACCACTGACCACAGGGCTTTTTGCTGATGTTAAAGTGGGTTGACCTGCTTAAGGGACAATTCAAGAGCCACATTTCTATTGGTCTTAAAATGGATCAACAACTGACAAGTTAATTATGTTATTTATCATAAAGTATGAAAAAAGATAAGGAAAGGATGGGGAATTGTTTAAAAAATGAGCACAGTGAATGCATTCGGACAGCAAAGAGAGGAAAAAAAATAACTTACCAGTCTTGCACTGCATTAAAGGATTCTTGATTGGCAATGTCATACATGAGGATGAAGCCCATGGCTCCTCTGTAATAAGCAGTCGTGATGGTTCTATATCGCTCCTGACCAGCTGTATCCTGTAAGACAAACTTTTAAGTTAATATAAGTGTGGTTTACCACTGAAAAATAGTTGTTTTGCAATATAGAACTTCAGTACTGCAGGAAAAAAAGACACTTTATCAAAGGTTTTAATCTCGCATTCATTAAGGCAATAATGTAAGACATTTCAAGGCAAAGGGAAACAACATTTGTACCATTTTGGGAGAAGAATGCTGATTGATTGGCACGTTGACTCTCAAACAGTAGAAACATTGCGAAAGAGAAATTAATGCCTTTACTATTCAGAATTTGGATGTCAACCAATCAGCACTCTCCTCTCGTAAGCATTGATTTTCCTTTATGCTGGTATTTCTTGAAAATTGCATTTCCCATGGTTAATCCATCTACCCTACACATCCCTGGAAACTATAGGAA